TAGCGGGGTGGGAGGGGGCGAGCAAGTGGGGCGGGAGGGAGGAGAGGCTAAGCGAGCGGGAGGCACCAGGGCGTAAGCGAGGAGGGCGGGAGGGGCCGACGGGAAACGCGGGAGGGAGCGGCGGGAAGGGAGTGGCGGGAAGGGAGCGGCGGGAAGGGACGAAGCCGAGGTTCTCGCTACGTCATAATACTGGGGCTGACTCAAATGCACTGTGTCATATGTTTCGTTGGGGGGAAGGAGCACTTAGCGAGATTTCAGACATATACCTTATACGGAATGATTTGACGGGCATTCCCAACATGGAATAACTGACCTTATTGCTGGGGGTACTGCCGGTGTGTGGAATAGAGCATTTTGATGGCTGTAGTCATGTCGCCGGAACTTAAGCGGCATGACTATATTCAACTGATCCCGTGAGGTACAGGTGTATTCCAGACCTGAAACATCATCTGAAGCTTGAGAATATCCGAATAGTAAGTATCAGATTGTTTTTACGATTCAATATTGGGTTTTATGTTTCATGACACTTGTCACCTTGTGGCAAGGTGACAAGGCTGGCAAGAAATTTGCGGTTTTACTGATGGATGGTACAACAGGTAACAGGTCTACAGCGGCCATAAACTCGATCCAGTATATAAGTCGATACTTGAAAAAATCCCCTGCTGCAGCGTGAAAGTCTTTCAAGCGAGTCCAGTCAGATACGAGAATGTGGTCCCTCCAACGGACGCAAGCGTAGTACAATGGTGAGGAAGGCGTTGCCTCTTCATCTTCTGTGACTGTTTCTGTGTTGTCCAGCTCCTGAGAGAGAAAGATATCCCTACGAAATTTGTAGCTCATGTACTCCATGCACCGAAAGGCTAACACTTCATGAGAGCGCTGTTCGTCTAAATGGTCTTCTCCGGGATAAAGATTAAGCGAGAATACCCCGTGATTCGACTCGTAGGAAGTCTGAGTAGCTACCTCGGGCCAGCTGGAGAGCATCAGCGATGACGATGAAGGTGATGGAATTGGCACATGTAGATGGTAATGCGATGATGGAGGGGCAGAAAATGATGGTGGTGGAGATGGTGGAGGTGGAGGAGGGGATGGCGGAGAAGGGGATGGCGGAGGACTTGATGGTGGTGGTGGCGGTGGAGGAGGAGGAGGAGGGGGAGATGGAGATGGAGAAGGCGGCCGATGTTGAGAGGGCGATGAGGAACGAGAGGTCGTAGGGGACGACGAAGAGTCAGATGATTGAGACTTGGCACGTTTATTGGTTGGATGGGAAGGTGTCAGTGTTGGGGGGAGTGGTGACGCGGAGTGGGATTTTGAAACTGGTAGACGTGATGGCATTGATAAAGTCGGTGGCGATGGCAAAGGAGTCGGCGGAACATAGGTTTGGGGACGAAGTTGGAAGGATATAAGATTGATAAGTGATCCTGGTTCAGTTTCGGTAATTTCGAGGTTGTAAGAGGCGAAGGGGCGGCTGAACACTTCACGGACCTCCTGTAAGGAGAACTTGGGCCCACTAGCAAAGAACAGATGAAAATCCGGAACACCCTCATCGAGGTGAAGAATGTCCACTAGAAGATCAAAGAAATCAACGACGCTATCATACTGCCCAGGGGGACAACAGTTGTCGATTTTGTCGAAAATGAATACTCGTGGTTTCCCTTCTTTCCATACGTTCTTGAGGCTCTTAACGGGTTGATGAAAAAGTGGACCAATCTGATCGTCAAAGGAGCACTTGGGGTCGAGCAATGCGGGATGTCGTCTGAGGGTCTGCACCAATAAGTTTCTCGTAGACCAATGACTCGACGGGATCCCAAGTTGATAAGCGATGGCTGGGGAGAAGTGATTCAAGGCTTGACGCTTGGGATCCTGTGAAGAACAGATGAATCTCCCCCCTAGGCTGTTATCCTTTGCCAACTCGTTGGCTACGGAGAGAGTCATTGCTGCTGTCGATGCCGTCATGGTAGTTGTTACATTGCTACTAGCACCGTTATGGAGCCAGATGACGCTGCGGCATCTCTCACTTAGACGTCCCATGATGTTTTCAAGTAAGGCTTTGTGATGTTTGTCGTGGTTCTGACGTCGTTTGCTAGAAAAGCGGACGCTAAAAGCGTCAACGGGGATGTGATCAGATAACATCTTCCATATAGCATCATCGTTCTCTGCAGTGCGTGTCTCGGTTATGAAGTTCTCGTGATAGACCCAGACACTTACTTGATGGCGAGGAACTCATAAGTAATATAGGGTATCACTAAGGGATCGAGTCCGGTGGCTCTCCAGCGAAGGGCGCATGCGCTACACTGCTCGAGCACTGGCACGTCTCGGTCCAACCCATCTCGGGATTCGGATTTCTCCGAAGCACCTGCAATAGCCCCTGTCGGGGTGCTTGGAGGTTCGCACTGGTGACCGACGATGGGGCAGGCACTCTTGGTTGCGACCTGCAAGATGCGTCTATTCTCTGCGCCTCTGGCGCTCTATTCTACTTGTGCTGACTAAGCAGCTGCTCTGTGTCCCTATTCGGATATGCCCCTATGTCCCTTATTCTCTGCTTGTCTCCAACTTGTCTCTCTGAGTCCCTCTGACCGGTTCTCCCTATCGCAACGGCTACTTGACACTAGCGCAGTCGGTTTGTGTCATCCTTATCAGGAGGGAGCACCGCTCTACTACAGGAATGTCAAACAATAGAAAGGGTGTAGAACGAGTCAGTGTATCCACGCTCGCGATGGCATTCAGCACGCCTCTCTAGTCTGACTTAACGATGCGAAGAAATGAACAGAAAAGCGCCTCTCATATTTTGATCTGCTTGACAAACGTGAGAGGAAAGAGTGACATACATGAATTGTCCCTTGAATGGCGGTGAGAATAAACCAAGAACCTCGTACGACTTGTTTATCAAAAGCATATTAATCATTATCTACTTCTGAGCGGTGGAGCAGAAGCCCCTCCTCGCCCAATCGATACGAGAGCTATCTGGGGACTTGTCGGAGGAAATCAGCCTACGCGCCTGAGAAACGAAGCCAAACCCAAGCCCAAGACCAGGAGAATCTAAGAAAAGGACGATTCATTATGACGCTGTACCTCGATGCTATCTCGGCGCTAGAAGAAGAAGACAAAAAGCGTGGTTCCCATGGGCAGAGTTATGGGGCGAGAACTGCCCTGGGTGAGATAAGGAAACGCGTCTAGTGCCTCGAGTAGAGTTTTCCCTCATACGAACGTGCTTCTCAGAACCCGGGCTCGCAGATGAATGAATTGCGTGTTCAGTGCGTGTGTTCAGTATTCAGTGGCGTCGACGTCATAGCGCAAAGCAGACCTCCGCAGGAGGCCTCGATTCCTATTGTATTAAGTATCGCATTGTATAGGTGTTCCGAAAACCACCACGCGGTGAGGGCCCACGCAGCCGCCCAGAGCCATTCTTAAACGAGATAGCGCGTTTACGCACTTGTCATGGATAAGGCACGTCTCGGAGTAGCGTTGAACCTATCAGCCTAGCATGGTACGACTTTCCAAATGTCGATGCCAGTAAGTCGCGGATCGCGCACATCTGGCCCGTTTCGGAGAGTTGATCGCGAGCCTGGAAAGAAATGAGCAGGAGAAGCAGCGATAAATCGTGCGCGAGAGCAGATAAGAGTTTGGCGGAAGAATGTGCGTCCGACTTAGGCAGAGAGGGCGCGGGAGCCGAGTAGCTTGGTCGGCGGCGGCGACATGGAATCTCCACCTAGGCATCTTGATATTTGAAAACACCAAGGTATTCGGGGTGCGAAGAGCCGGTGGCACAGAAATGTCACGTTCTATCAATATACATATTGCATTATAGATTGCTCAAAGACAATCACAAAGCGAATCGGGGATAGAAACAGCGGGTGCACTTAGCTTTTGGCTTTAAGCAGCTCAGCGACGGCATCATGAACCATGCTACATGCATGCACCGTGTGGAAGCACGCCGAGGCGCGAACACTAAGAGATCGGACGAGACGTGATAGGACGGCGATGTATATCGTAGACGATAGAAGGGATACAATGAGGAGCGAGTGTAGGAGCTAACGAAGCTAAGGCTATCGAACGGACGAGCACGAGTTTAAATAAGGGAGAGCAGGAGGATGCCAGAGGCATCGTATCGAGAAGGCGTATAGCAAAACGCGTGCTAATAATAATAAACGTCCGCGGAAACAGAATCCATAGTCCTAAGAGGAATAGGAAGATTGTCGAGAAGTCGGGTGTGGAGCGATCGAGGAGCGATCGATCTGGAGTTCTTCTTCGAAGGTCGGCGGTAGCAGCGAGAATGTCATAAGTCCGAGGGAGCGGGCTTACACCCCTCCCCCTTCTGAATGAAGCTCTCCGAGCTCGCGAAGGAAGTGGTCGAGAGCTTCACAATCTTCGACTTCACTGCCCGGGAGCCAACGGTCGGCGCGTGCGTCTTCGTCTTTCCAGCGAACTTTATATTGCCAACCGCGACCGCATTTCCTGCGATCGAGGATCTTGTCGATAAACCATTCTTGAGAACCGCTTTCGGTGATGATGGGTTCTGGCTCAGCGCGGGAGCGGCCAGGGAATAGGGCATCGTCGTTAGGGATGTGCATCTTCAGTTGGGAGACGTGGAAAGTGGGATGAATGTGAGAGTCTTCGGGAACGTCTAGCGTGTACGAGGACGTGTGCGGATGGGCGGATATGATGCGGTATGGGCCATCATATCTAGGAATAAATTTAGCGACACGTTTAGAACCATGTTGCATGTACTCCCGTCTGCGATGTTTTGTTGAGAGGTAAACAAGATCATCGAGCTTGAATTCCGGGTCGGGGAGACGGTGAGTGTTTGCAGCCGAAGCCTGAGATGCTTTGGAAGCGAAGAGGGAATCGTGCGCATCAGCAATGTCGTTTTGGAGGGAATGAATAGTACGTAGCGCGGCGCAGACGTCATCTTCAGTGGAGGGAGGGGTTTCAGAAACGAGAGGAAGGAGAGGTGGGATGAGGCGCGGAGAGCGGCCGAGATGAAGTTGGAAGGGAGAAAACCCTGTAGAAGCGTTAACAGTGGACATCATATTGAAACGTACGCAAGGGAGGGCATCAACCCAACCCTTTTGACGGTGTTCGACAAAATATCGCAGAGATTGAACGAGCGTCTTGTTAGTTCGCTCGGAAGAACCGTCGGTTTCGGGGTGGAAAGCAGTAGACATGCGGAGATCAACACCGGCGAGTTTGTGAAGTGTCCGCCAAAACTTGCTGGTAAAGAGCGAATCTCTGTCGGAGATGATGTTGGACGGCATGCCGTTCTCACAGAACCAGTTGTTGAAGAAGAGAACGGCACAATCAGCCGCAGACATGTCCATCCTGCAAGGGACCAGGCGGATATCTGCACCGAGGCGATCAGTGATGGTTAATATGCCGTCAAAACCGTGTTCATTGGGCAGCGGCCCAACGAAATCCATAGCAATGCTGTCGCCACGTTTATCGGGAGGAGGCAAAGGATGGAGAGGGCCGTGGCGTTTTGTCGTAGCTGATTTGTTGCGGGCGCAGGTGTCACAGGAAGGGATGTAACCTTCCTCAAGGTCCTTGCGCATATTTGGCCAGTAGAAGGCCTCGCGCATGGCGGCGTAGGATTTGTCGAAGCCGAAGTGGCCAAGTGTATCGTGGGCAAGACGGTACACATATTCTCGGAGTTTTGGGATCCTCGGGATGATGAGACGCTCTCCTACGAACCAGAGGTTGTCAACCATCCTGAGGTTAGGAAGAGAATCACTTAACGAGGAAAGCTTTTTACACCAGGGATCATCGGAGTAACCAGCTATGATCTCGGGAACGAGGTCGTGGTCAGAAGCGATCGATAGAACAGCAGCTACGCAGACGTCAGAACACACGAGCGGGATGGGCAGGCGAGTTGTTTCTGAGAGGTAGTCAGAGGAAGGAGAGTGGGGCGGGCGAGAAAGGGCATCCGCAACGGTGTTCTCGGAACCCTTGATGTAACGTATAGTGAAATCGTATTGCGAGAGGAACTCTTGCCAGCGCGCTTGACGGCGCGAGAGATCCGGCTGTGTATTAAAATACTCGAGTGTTTTGTGGTCGGTGAAGACTGTGAATGACACACCCAATAAATCAACTCGCCACTTCTTGAGAGCCTTGACGATAGCAAGGAGCTCTTTTTCGTGTACTGGATAGTTGAGCTGAGCACCACTTAGTTGAGAGGAATAATACGCGACGGGGCGAGCAGTCTCAAGCGAAGGACCAAACGATAGGTAAGCGCCTACAAATTTATCGCTGGCGTCGCACGAAACAAAAATGTGATTGTCGACGAGATTGTCGTGGTCGATGGTAGTGAGACAACCAGTGCTGGTGACGAGCCGTTTAATGGAGTTGAAAGCAAATTGATGCGAGGTTGTCCACCGAGGCCATAGCTTATCGCACTCTTTGGTAGTCAGAGGCGTCAGGATACGGGTGTGGTCGGCGAGACCCGGGAGGAACTGGTCGAGATATTGTACAAGTCCGAGAAATGAACGGACTTCACCAGATGTTTTAGGTGTAGGCCAGTCTAGGATCTTAGAGACTTTGGTTGGATCGACTTGTATGCCCATAGCAGATATTCGATGCCCTAAAAACTCGAGTTCTGAGGCAAACAGGATGGTTTTCTTCGGTGAACAGAAGAGACTCGCCTTTTTCAGAGCATCCAGTACGGCCTGGACATTACGGACATGTTCTTCAACAGTCTGAGACCAGATGATGATGTCGTCCAAGTACACATGACATATTTTTCCAATGAGATGGCGCAAGGCCGAAAACATACGGCGCTGATGCGTTGCGGGAGCGTTGCGACCTCCCTGAGGCATAACAGTCCATTCGTACAGACCAAGAGGTGTAGCGACAGCGGTGTACTTGATGTCGTCAGGATGAACTCTTGTCTGAAAAAACGAATTAGTCATGTCGATCTTGCCAAAGATTTTACCTTTGGCGCAGTCCCGAAGGATATCATCGACGCGTGGTAAGGGGTGACGGTCGGGAATCGTGTTATCATTGAGTTTCCGGTAGTCGTTTACTCAACGGGGTTTGGCAGTAGGGTCCTTCTTCGGGATGAGGAAGGCGGGTGATACGTAGGGACTGTCAGACGGTCGAAGACGACCGGATTCTAAGTGTTCTCAAGGGGTAGTGTAGAAGTTGTCCCCATACTTGCTTGTACTTGCGAGGGCATGAATACGAACGTGATTGTATAACTTTATTCGCGTCCTTGAGCTGGACGCGATGATATACATCAGTAGGTAGAGAAGCAATGGACGGTAACTCAGCTGGAAACAGGTCGATGTATTTGTTTCGCATAGCTTTGTCAAGACGTTCTAGATGTTCACGATTGAAATTAGCGGCAGCTAATGTCTGAATACGATTTAAAACGGAAGATATGACTATACGAGGATTAACGTCGGTGACAACATGTTCCTCGAGTCGAGAACGGATCTTCGCAGTTTCTGACTTCAGTTGCGATACAACACTCGATTTGATAGGGCTATAGTCAACAGGAACAGGAGGTGTGCATTTTGGAACAGTACCATGATTAAGAGAAGGGGGCGAGAGGATATCGTAGGTGGAGTCTTTGGCGATGCAAGTACGGAGTTCGTGGTCTATAATGAGACGATTATGTGAGAGGAAGGGGCCGCCCAAAAGAAGGGGAATGGCTAAGTCGTCGACAACAATAGCGCGAAGCTTTTTCGAAGTCCAATGCAAGTTCAATGAAGAAGGTGAAAGAAAAACATAATGGGAGAGTGAAGAAAGAGACCCAGAAAGGACATTGGAAGCGTCTATAGGTTTAGGTAGTCGTCTGAGTCGTAGTCCCAGTTGCGAAACCAAGTCCGACTTAATCAGAACTAGATGCGACCCGTGGTCAATGAGTGCATCAACTCGAAGATGGGATGGGACGAGTGGGCCATCAAGGTAACATGGCCAGAAAAAATGAGGCGATGAAAGAGGTGCGACGCACTCATCAGAAGAATCGGCAGCTTCTTCGAAAACCGACGAAGATTCGGGGAGGATAGCCGCGACGGTGGCGGACTTTCGTTGCTTGGAAAAGCGTTCAATGTCGGCTTTGTACTTGTCGCGTTTATCATCAGGAATAGCTCGGATAGTGGCGGCTTCGGTGAGCGTTTTGTAAGTGGCGGGGTTGGGGAAACCATTGTTACATTCGCGAGACCAATGTCCCGCGAAGAAACGTCTGCACTGCAGGCACCCTTCGTACTTGTTGAGCAGCCTGCGTTCCTCGTCTCCGAGCTTGGAAAGCTTGGGAGCGTCGGGATCGCGAGGGGCTGAGGAAGTATGCGAGTGAGAGTGGGAATGAGATGAAGATGAGGAAGGCACGTTACGCGCCGTAGAAGTCCTCTTATAATTTGCAGCGAGACTATTCATGATGCCCTCCAGTTGCGTCTCGATGAGGTGGACGCTGGCGACCCAATCGGTTAAGGAAAGCGTGCGGGGAAGTTGGTGAACGTAGATCGCGTTCTTGAGGTCAGAGTTCATATGTGCTTGTAGACAAGTGCGCAGGTTATCGTCGTCGAGGTGACCGGGACGCTTACTGAGGAGAGTGTTCCTTCTGATGGTATGATTAGCGTACTTCGTAAATTTGCGAGTACCTTGGTTCTCGCTCTGGATCTCGTCTGCAAGCTTCGCCTCCCAGCCAAAGGGGAGACAATGAGCCCAGATTTTGTTGAAGAGGTCGTCTAAGGGCAAAGCAGAGAGAGTGGCTCGCTGAGTAGCGATCCAGTCCTTAATCGCAGAATCACGAAAAGTACGTAGGAGCTGTTTGGAGGCTTTCTTCTCGTCGACGTCTTTGATCTCGACGTATCCTCGGAAAGCGTCCTCGAACTCCTGCGCGACCTTGGGCGTAACATCGCCTTTGGTCAACACAGGGAGATCCTTGGGCGAATCCTGTCTGACAATGGCGCCGGACATCGGATCGTAGTCGCGTCGATATTCTCGGAGGCAACAAGACGAGTCTGAATCGGACTCGTTATCGTCCGAGAGGTCGGTAAGGGGCGATGGTGCGTTTTCGACAGGCTGAACGTCGTTGGAAGTTGTCTGAGACTCTGAGAGCACTCCTTCTCTAAGATCGAGGGAGATACCCAGAGCGGTTGTCTGAGAGCGAGTCTGACGGACAGTAGGAGCAGAAGAAGACAGGATGGGCGATGTGGACAGAGACGGATGACAGATGAGAAAGGTTGCAACTCGAACGAACGAGCTGCCAGCTAGATAGACGGCGACAGAGACAGAGAATACGTGACTCGCGAGAGTGCGTCGGTTCTGAGATGAACGAGATGTTCAGCGGATGAGACGGAAGAGAATTGAATAATACGTCGCTTCGTCGTTATCAAAAAAAAAAAGTGGAAGCACGCCGAGGCGCGAACACTAAGAGATCGGACGAGACGTGATAGGACGGCGATGTATATCGTAGACGATAGAAGGGATACAATGAGGAGCGAGTGTAGGAGCTAACGAAGCTAAGGCTATCGAACGGACGAGCACGAGTTTAAATAAGGGAGAGCAGGAGGATGCCAGAGGCATCGTATCGAGAAGGCGTATAGCAAAACGCGTGCTAATAATAATAAACGTCCGCGGAAACAGAATCCATAGTCCTAAGAGGAATAGGAAGATTGTCGAGAAGTCGGGTGTGGAGCGATCGAGGAGCGATCGATCTGGAGTTCTTCTTCGAAGGTCGGCGGTAGCAGCGAGAATGTCATAAGTCCGAGGGAGCGGGCTTACACCGTGCAAGCCATCCAGATAAATCTCTAGCCACCTAGCTTGAGTTGCGACCTCGGCGTGCGCAGATAAAGGAGCGTCGCGATGCCGACTGAGAATGGCCATCTGCAGCAGCACACATTGATATTACATTCCGAATTCACAGACCTCGACTTCGGAACCGAGGGTGGATGCCGGCTTATAGATAGTAACAGCATAAATAAACGACCTGGGCCAAACGATATGCGCAGACGCGCTCATATATGCGCCTAGACTTTCGTCTTGACGGCGTTCGCCCGCGAACAGTGTATCTGGAGTCCCGAAAGACCCGAAACTGAGCGAACAATTAAGGTAAGACCAAAGTGGTACGACAGCGGAAAGTCAAAAAGCCTACAGAGCCGAAGGTATTGCGACACAGAGGGCGATATGCACCAGATACACGATCGCGATCGACGGTGTCTGAACGCTAATGCCGCCGTGGAAAGAGCAACCCCACACTTGCGAGGCAAGAGTCCAGAGCCGTCCGAAGAAGCGCTAACTGGGACCGGGAATAGTGCATAGGCAGCGTAGCTGATCGCAGCATCGGTGGCGTCGCGAGCATTTCATCACCTCTGGGCTCGAGCCTGGCCCGCAGGAACGCACTGGGACCCCACGTTTGCTGCTAGCCGTTACACATACATGCATGCTCACGACCGTGAGGCCCAGTGGAAACGTGCTGTGCTTGAATCGGTGGGAATCCGGGTGGATTGGTGAATTGGAGCATAGTAGGGCACATCTTTGATTTTTCATCAATAAAATACGGGCACATTGGTGAAAGCCAGTGCATGTGACATTGGCGCGATTAGAATATCAAAAAATTCGGCGCATATGGCAGTCAGGGAACCAGATACGGGCCCGAACTCCCCGCTGTTGCTTCATCGATCATCTTTTTCATGGATGGAATATTTCCTAGCTGCGATCCGGGTGAAAGGAAGTATTGCCGTGTTTGGTTCGTAAAATGCCAAGTCTTTATATGTCCTGAAATCGACACAAATCATCATGTAGAAGTCCTGATTGGCTCGGACAGTGAATTTCAGCAGACGCGTATTTTCAAATTAGCTGTTGCTTGGCTCTGCTTGTTGTAGCTTCTCTGAAAACAGTCCCAAAACAGTCCGGAAACTCTGTAGTTTTGATCCCCGCTTGTTACAGCCTTGCACGCTGTGGACGCGTACTTCGCTCTCCCTTCCTCTCACCACCACCATCCTCTTCACCACCCCAAATACCGCCCGTGCGCACTTGGGTACATGCACTACAACATTCTACTGGTTGCCGCAACATGACTCTTCCACGTTCGCCACTCCTGTCGACCTCTCTAACTTACATCACTGGAAATTACTTCTGATTGTCGAGTTCACGAGTAGGAAGGGATCGAGCATTCAGGTGGGTTGATTCCTACAATCCAGTTTACCTTGCCTTTGCTCAGCGACTTCACAAAGCTTGTCCTCTATGTGGTACGTGCTCGCTACCTCTACCACCACACATCATGATTCATTCCATCAACAGGCTCGCGATCGGGCGTATCCGGCTAATATCACTGCTCATTATTTGTAAAGATAGCCAGCATGTATATTTAGTAGCCTTTACATAATATATAATATCAAGCTGCTTTGGAATTTTCGCCATGGATGGAATAAACCAGGTTGAGTCGAATTCTATTATGGCAATTAGCTATTCAAATTGAGTTCACGTACTCGTGAATGCGTGCACCGATACGAACCGATGTACCCAGATCCGAGCCAATGGGCGTCATGAATTGACACCAAAAAATCGGTGAACAGTCCAGCCATTGGTTCGCATTGGTGTGTATCGGTGCATCAAAGAAGCACCACGAGATATGCTTCGATTCACCAATCCGCCCGGATTCCCACCCATCTGAGCACAGCACGTTTCCACTGGGCGTGAGGCACTGCGCCCAGGAACGTTGCGGCATGTGCGTGCCATTCGAAGGTATATTCAGAGTTTGGGAGGCTATTCGTGACTACGTCAGGATCCATATTTATGTAGTTCCAAAACGCGTAACGCGCGCACGCCCCTCGTTATATAACGTGTATAAATACCTACACAGTCGAGACGAGAACAGCGTGCGCGAGAAGTTTAAAGAGAGCGCGTGCGTCATGCGAGCCGACTCCGCGGATATATGCGAGAATGGGATAGGTTCACGGTGAACGACCCAAATTGTCTTCCTATCAATCATCCTTTCGTTGTGGAATCGAAGATGTCAGTCTGACCTCACTGAGTCATTGCCTCAAGCACTGCAGACAAACGGCGATTTTACCCGGAATTAAACCGAGAGAAAGAGGCGGCGAGATGAAAGCCTTTTCTTCCAAGTTTTGGAACACCCTTTTGCACAGGAAAAGGTATTCTTTTGGCCGACATTTGCGTCAATTTTGCGCTGGTAAAATAGACAGGTTACCGAATTTGGACTCCATCTTCCCGATTTAGACGTGTTTCTATCTAATCTCCGCACAGAAATGCAAACTCCGAGGCAAAAGTTCAACTTTTAAATAAAATTTCGCACAGCAAAAGATGGGTGCAAAAGGCTTTCATCTGTCCGCTTTCCACATGTTACTGTATGTACTTGCAGCACCTCCGGCTCCAGTAGGCAAGCGTGTCAATATGGCGCTCGAAGGAGTCGCTGGAGCCAAGACGCGTCCGCGCGTCCAGCATCATCGATGGACGCATCATTCATCTCGCTCACCGCTAATGCATCATGGTCTCACAGGGCAGAGGCGAAATGAAGGCGAGACGATGTCGCCCGACTCAAGGGCGTGTGCATCGTTACTCCGAACCGAGGTTGAGTCCATGGACCCATCTGCACCGTGAACCACCTTCCATACACACAAGGCAAAAAAGAAACAGTCATTGCGCTAACAATCTATATCTATCTAGAGCGATGGATGTGATATACTAGTACGACGAAGAACAAAGAGAAAAGAGAGAGAGAGCGGAGTGGATCTGGGAGTTGAGTCCATGTATGCGCAATCCAGCAGCGCCAGTGAGCAAGCGCGGAATAACGAAAAAAAAGGGTGCATTGATGAGCAGCGTGGGGTGCGTATGAAGATCAAAGTCAAAGAGCCAAATTGATCAGACGTAGAGGGTGAATGGAGAGGAGAGAAGAAGGTCAATAATAATAGCGTCGAACGAGGAACAGGAACAAGTAACGGGTAAGGTTAACTAAGCCCAACTAAGCCGCAAACCGTAATCGAAACGAAGAGCAAGTCCGAAAGTGTATAAGCAGGTTCAAAGAAAGAGTCGAAAGAAGAAGTGAGCCGGGTTCTGTCTATAGGGTGATGTGCGGATTCTGTCTATGTACTGTATAACTAGTGCTACCAAATGTGCGTTTGCGTGCAATGCGGGGCTGCTCTACATCGTGAATGTTGGGATCAGGGGGAAAATGGTAGATGAGGAGAGTAAGAGGGCCATGAGAAATATGGGATGGACGAGAGACGTGAAGACTGAGAAACGAAGGCGAAAACGGATCGTCAAATGGACCAGAGAATTTTTGAGATATCGGGTGATGCTAGAGTGGAGATGGGGCGAGGAAAGTTGTGTCGGTAACATGCTACATCCAGGGGTTCTAAGAGGCAAGAGGCGAGAGGAGAGAGAGGGAGCATAGGAGAAGAGATGAAAAACGGAAGGCGGAAGTCGACCAAAGAGTTGAACGTCGAAACCTGAGCGAGAGGCCACTGGAGAGATAAACGCCGAGACGAGTCGAATTGAGTTCTTCATCGACTCGCCAACGTCGACGCCTCAAACTCCTTAAATGTGGGCAACTCCACCTTCTCCACCGCCGTCTTCTCCGTTTTCAACCCACCCGCCATCTTTTCCTGCCCAGTCTCCACAACCTCCTCCCCTTTCTCGCCCTCCACCTCCACCTTCGTCTTCTCCACAACCATCGCAGTAGATGAAGAAGCAGTCGCCGTCGTCGGCGACGTCGCCCCACTCCCCATATTACTGCCCACACCGCCCATCGTCGCCCCAGGCGACTCGCTCTTGATCTTCAGCGGCGCAAGCGTAATCGGCGGGCTACCCGAGCGCGACGCGGGCACACTGGCCACGCCCCACCCGTCACGGTGCCCGTACGCAGTCACACCAGCACCAGCACCGGCGCTGGCACCGGGACCCGAGCCGACGCGCGACGGCGACTTGAACGAGAACTGCGTCTGCGCGGGGTGCGCGGTCGCGGGCCACGACGGAGTTCTTGCGGTGTGCGTGTACTGGTTCGGGTACGGCGAGTGCGGGTGCGCATGCGAATGCGAGTGCGCATGCGAAGTCGACGCCGACGAAGCAGAGTGGATCGGCGTCATCCCAAACGCCATCCGCACCGAATGCGCCAGATGATGATGGTGCGGTGCCCCGTTCCCGTTCCCGTTCCCGGTCGCTTGTTCCCGCTCCCTCTCATGATGATGCGGCGGCGACGCAGGCCTCGATCCCACCGGACTCGCAGTCGTACTCCCCGCTCCAGGCTCATACGTGTGTCCACCTCTCAGCGGATGCGTAAAGCTCGCGGGCGAGCTCCCGCTGCTGCTCGGCCCGCTCGAGAGCTGCGGCGTGGGAAGCGCATGCAGACTGCTGTTCCCAGCACCCGACGCCGGCCCGCTCGAGCTGCCGGCCCCAACAGCGGAGGATAGCTGCCCGGGGTACGAGTGCACGTGTGGGAGGTGTGCGGCGGACGCGGGCAGCGCGAATCCATCCGCCGAGGGCCGTTTCCGCGCCGAAGACGTGCGACTGCGCGAGTAGGCGCCAGAACCGGAGATGGGCGAGCGCGTGCCGCTCGTGGCGTATTGGCTGTATCCGTATCCGTACCCGTACCCGTGCGGCCTTGTTGCATCGTCATCGACGGGGCTCGTCTGCATGCTGTCATCGTCGTCTTCATCGTGAGCCGAAGGGGGAAGCAAGATCGGCGATGGCGCGCGGCTCGGGTATCCCGAGTGCAAGTTGAGCGTGCGCAACGGACCGAGGAACGGCGACGCAGACGGGGTGTATGCGTAAGCCGCCGCATCACGCGGCTGAGGCTTGGCCTGCACGAGCGGCGGAGACATGTCATGGTGGGAACCACCATACCTCGTCCGCGAGGCGCCGTTCGCATGTGACCCAGGAAGGGGGAGCGAATCCGAGTCCGAGCTCAGCGGCGAAGGCGTGTCTTCCTGTCGCGGGAACTGGCGATGCACAGAAGCGGGGTGCTGCGAAGCATGGCTGTATGCAGATGCAGATACAGTCCCAGATGCGGGGTACTGCTGCCCCGCAGCGCCGCTCCGGCCCGTCTGGGCCTCAGCCGGAGTAGAGTTTGGGGACGAAATGGGCGTGATCTGCCACGCGGGCCCACTCAGCCTCCTTCTGTTCTTGGTCGAGCGCTCATCAGACACGCCGATGCCAAAGTAGCCCGCGTCCGCACCGGCGCCCGAAAGCGGCTGACCAAAGTGGAACGGCGTGGAAACGGGGCTGGTCGTCGCGCTCTTCACCATGCGTGCGCCGTGCATATGATAGGCGCTCGAATGTGAATCCGTCGGGGGCCGCAGGTCGGACTCGGCGCGCCGCAGAACCTCGGCGTGCCGTGCCTCGTACTCCGCGCGGCGGAGGGCCTCTGCGCGTTCGAGCGCGTAGAGCTCGTCCATGGCGACACTCGAGAGAGTGGAGAATGCCGAGGGATTCGACTGGGGGAGGTGGTGGGGCTGTGCGCGTCTGGGGTGGTACGAGGATTCGTAGGAGCCGAGCGCCGTCGGGCGGGCGTATGATTCACCCTGAAACAAAAACAGTAAAATTTTTGATGATGAACACTTTTTGGACACAAGAACGCGACAGAATGGAGGCTGACGCACCTCGTCGTCGCTATTGGCTCGGCTCCTGGCTTTTTTCTTTATCCTGACACTGGATGAGTCTGCGGCTGACTCATGGGTACTGCGGCTGTACGAGTGGAGGCTGACGGAGTTGCCCTGATCGAGGTGGTCGTCGTGCAGCGGGTGTTCGGACTTGGGCTTTGCCCGTTTGCCAGTGGCATGCTGGGACTGGTGCTCGTTGTTGTGTATACGGGAGTGGCGGGTAAGCTCGTCTGAGCGGGAGAAACGCTTTTCGCAGGAGGGGAAGGTGCAGGCGAAGGGCTTCTCGCCCGTGTGTGTCCGTATATGCCGGGTCTGTGGGGGCGGTGATAAGGATCATCGTGACGACAAATGGTGTTCGCAACGGGAAACGACATACCTGGTGCTCGAGTCTGCTGAATGCGCGGCCGCAAAGTGGGTAGGGGCACTTGTAGGGTCTTGCGGCGACCTTGTCTTGCTGTGTCTGAGTGTGAGACTGGGCTGACACCGTCGCTGTGGAGGGGCCGTCCATGGTAAAGTTTGTTGGAAGGGGAGTGCGGGGGAGGTTGAGTTGAGTAGCGGAGGATAAGAAGTGAAACTAAGTATAAACGAGGGAGGGCATGCGTGAGCTAGGCCGGAAAGAGAAAAAGCTGGGAAGGGGAGGGAGGAACTTACCGGTGACCGAGGTGATGTAACACTGGATCTCGACCGAAGCACGCTATTTGATTCTGGGGCAGTTGTCCTGATTTAGAAGCCTCGGATGCCCTGTCTCCTTCTCTTGGTTCCCTCTGCGGGTGGCTGTCTCCCCTTTTGCGCTGGGGGTGGGGACGAGGGGGTGGATTGGGGAGAACGAGACGATGACGGAAGCGGCGTATACGTGTTGGGAGGGAGGGGAAGAGGACGGGACTGAGGGAACAGTGAAATATGAAAAGTCCGGGGAATAGCCGCCCTAACCGAACACGATAATCAGGCAGGCAACCACCTGCAACCACCTGTCTCTCGTCCACAAACGGCCCGAACAAGCGACCTCGCCGGTTGTCAATCAGTATTTCAACCCGCGATTAAAGCAGGCAAAATACGTCGGTTACGATAGCGTATGCAGGGACGACGGGAGGGGAGTAGCGTTATGCGGAGGAAGGAGAGGATGAAGGAAGAAAAAGAGAAGATAAAAACAACAAGGTGATGTTCCGGAGAGAGGCGATTTGGGCAGTCGAGCTGTATGCGAACGTGGGGAAGACGGAATTGGAAACAAGGCACTGCGCTTCTCCGTGGATGCCTACGCCTCCCTCCGCTGATCACTCGCAAATTGTTCGCCACAGGAACTTACCAGCTCAGCCACCCGTTGGTCCGCCCCATTGCTGGCCGTTCCGAGATCGTCCTCGCCGGTTGTCAATGTCCCCACAACATCAAGGTTGCCCTACCCTCGTCATCCTCGCACTTGCAACGGCCAGCACTGGGAAGACGAGTAATTTGTCTCTAGGGCGTATGGATAACACATCGCTAAACGGATGTTGCATATGCCTCCTGCGATACTATCACCCGGTCTGTCGCGCTGCCAGCCTGCCGCCCCTTTCCACCTCGCATCCACCTCCCCGCAGTCCCTATCATCGGTCCGGATATCCCCGATGGGCATACCTTCCATTTTTACATAAGCTATTCTTCCCCTTTATCGACCAGGTTCCTGAGGGCCTCTCCGGTCGCCCCGGCAATCTGGCTCCTTCCTCCACGTCGTCATGACGGACACCGGTATCGGCCATACCCGTCGGCCTCAACCTGGGGTCATCCTCTTCGATTCCGACTCATCTCGACTCGGCCGGTGTGCTCGTTGCCCTTGAACTTCCTCGACCGCCAGATGGTGCGGCCAGGTTGCCATGGTCCATGTTCCACTGCTATGTAACCGAATCGCCGGGGCGAGCACATGCACGCCTGATGCCACGGCCAGGTTCATCCACCCCGACCCCACATTTTCTCCCTTCTCGCGTGTCGCCCACCGTGCACCTCGTCACTCTTGGAACCGCTTCCCAATTTCCCCACCGCCCACCGCGTTCTAGACCTTCCTGCCTCTCTCCCCTTCTTCGAATTCACTCGTTTGCTGCATTGCGTACTACTTCAGGCGCCAGAACTACCTTCTAGTCGCACGCTGGACTCAGATGACCTCAACATATGACGGCCCTTCATACATTGACTGACATTTCATTCGCCACACCCCAGGCCAGGTCCACGGTCTCATCCCGAGGTTTCCTCTTACTCTCCACGGCCTCCCTCGATCGGTCGATCTTCCCACTCGTCCACCTTCAACGCGTCGCCTCGCGTCGTACGATTCACACTCTCAGAGACCGTCGGCGGAGGAACTATGTAGATCCATCCAGTAGTGGAAATGCAATTACCTGGGGCAGAACGGCACCCGCTGAATGGGATCCTCGTTTTGATGTAAGTTACATTTATCATGTCCTATCCATCACTTCAATGGCACACTCCGTGAGGCTGGGGTCGACGTGTTTCACTTGGAATTGCATCAGTGAGTTTTGGACTGTACGCACAGCTCGAACCCTAACATGTTTGATTGGATTGGATTGAATCACTCACAGCACCGCAGTGCATTGGACCTGGATAGCTATACCTTGGATGGGAACAATGCACGAATACAAAGCGTGCCGGCGTTCTGCGAACGCATGCAGTGACCACCGTCTGCATCTGATGTCGGCTTTGTTCGTGATGCATGATGCATCAGCGCTCCCCGTCGCAGTTGTTGTTCTACTTCTGATGATAGTTGAGAAGCCTACCTCTGGCGCCCGCACTGGCGGGCGCAAACACCCGCGGGCTCACGCTCAAACTCCCAGGCTGTTGCGCACCGGACACTCATCAACATCCCGAACGCCACGAAGCCCATACAAACGTCGACTGCCCTCCGCCCGCTACCCACAAGCACTGGCCATGTCTACTCGGTTCCGCATCATACCTGGATGCATCTGCGGCCTCATGAAGTTCTCGACCTTGATCGACGGCATCTCGATCGGTATCGCCTGCTTCGTTTCGTTTCTTCCCGCGTCTAGAAGCCGGTAGTCTCAACACCGTAGCAGACACCGTTAGACTTCGCCTGCCCTATGATGATCCATATCGACCGCGACGAGAGAACCCAGACCGGACCCCGGGACCGACAATGCAAATAACGACACGCCAGTCGACATCGGGCGCTGTACAGACGCGTTCGCGCCCTGTTCCGCTCGCGCGATCTCGCTCGCATCTCTCGCGATCGAACGTTCGACGTCCGTATCTCGGGAGATCACCTGCCGCGGCGGCCTTGTCTCCCCAGGTCTCTCCTTATCTTCGCCATTGCCAGCGCTGAGCCTTCTCTGTCCGCTGTCCGTCGATCGTGGTGCCCTATCGCGCCCTATCGCGCCACCCATCACACCTCTCTGCGCATGCTCGCGTCGAGCAACGTGCGCCAGCGATACGCACATACCCCCCAAGATAAGTTACCCCGCTTCGTACCTGATCGACCTGCTCTGCCTGCCAGGTGTACGAGTTGGATGTGTCTGGGGTCTGGGGGTGACACACACGTTGGTTGCGTTCGAGGTTGTTGCTTCACTTGTTGGCGCAATCCCGCCGGCCGAGGAGATTGCTCCGTCGCTCGGCAAGGTTAATTTGATTCGGGCATATCGTCGGAGCTGTCGCCGGTCGGAACAGGGACAAGGCACCCGTGACATGGGGATGGGGATGTGTCAGAGGATTGTCAGAAAATGTGTGATGGCGGTGCCGGGCTGTCAATTTTCTCTCCTCTTCATGTGCTGGAATCACATGTTATCGTACCCGCATATCCAGCGAGTGAGTCGTCGGAATCAAGAGACATCCGTGCGTCCACCAGCGTGTAGTACCTATGCATCGTTTGTTTCATTCACTACTCATGCGCACGTCTCACAGGGCAGAGGCGAAATGAAGGCGACACGATTTTGCCCGGCTCAAGGACGTGTACACTACAGTATTCTGCCGAGCCGAGGTCGCGTCCACGATGAGCCCCTCTGCACACCTGCGAAATACTTTCCCATTCTCGCATATGTCCGCGGAGCCGGATCGTATGACGCATGCGCTCTCTTATAGCTTTCTCGCGCGCGCTATTCTTGCCTCAATGTACAGCAAGTTTCTATACATATTACGAGGTGCGTGCGCGTGTTACGTGTTTTGGAGCTATATATGGATCCTGATGTGTTCATGAGCAGGAATAGCCCAAACTCTGAATATTGCTTGGAGTCGCATGCGTATGCTGCAATGTTCCTGAGCGCAGCGCCTCACCCCGGGCGTGAACACGTATATACGGGCCTGCAAAAAGTGGGGTTCCATGCTAATAGGGCGTCCCTTTGGGGCAGGTCGGCGGTCAGGTTTGATGAAACGCTTGCGGCGCCACTGATGCTGCGATCAGCTACGCAACCTATGTTGCCTCTAGTGCTAATCAGCGCTTCGTGGGATGCCTCTGGGCTCTTGCCTCGCAAGCGTGATTGCGTAGTATGGCCTGGTATGACCTTTTCACTGCAGTATCGATATAGATACCCGCTGCATATTATGCAATGTGCCGCAGTCTCTTCGGTTCCGTAGGCTTTTGGCCTTTCATATCGCACATTTACGATTTTACAGTATTTGTTCGACTTCGGGACTTTCGGGACTCTGGAAGCGCTCCTCACGGACGGACGATGTCAAGACGAAAGTTTAGGCGCAAGGTGTAAAAGTATCGTTTGTTCCAGTTGTTTCTTCAAGTATACATATGCTATTGATTGGCATCTGAGATTTAGCATCCACTCTCGGTCCCGAAGTCAAGGACCACGAATTCGGAAAGTAGATTATGCAGGCAGGCAGATGGCTATCCGTGGTCGGCATCGCGACCTTCGTTTTACTGAGGACGCCGAGGCCACAACTCGGGCTAGAGATCTATCCGGATCGGCTTCATGCCGCATGCACGCAGCATGGCCCCATAATGTCGTCACTGAGCTGGATTGTCTGTCGAGACCGAGACGACCACCGGCGTATTAAGACTGCATACGGCACATAAGTACCGTATCAGATCGTATCTGCATAAACATTGAAGCTGAGTGCGCCCGCTATCTCTATCCCTGAGCCTGATCCATTATCTACTTCTTACGCGCTCTATAACGCCTAATGTTGTCAGAATGTGTACACCGAATGAACGTATTATTCCTTCAACACTGGTTCTTTGCCCTCCGAATACCATGTACTAGCATTGAGCTGCCTCGGTGGAGATTGCATCTCTTATCCAGCAGAACGTTCGCCGCCGACGAAGGCATTCTGTTCTCGCTGTCTAAACTATTGGGCACACTTTCTTCCGCCCCAGTCTTATCTGCTCCCGTATGGTTTATGCCCGTCTCTTCTGCTGCTTTCTCCCATGCTCGCGAAATGGGACACATGTGCGCAATTCGCGACTCACCGGCCCATCGACATTTGGCAAGTCGTACCATACAAACTGATAGGTTCAATGCTACTCCGAGACGTACCTTATCCATGACAAGGGTGTGGACACGCTATCTCATTTGCGAATGGTTCTAGATGGCTGCATGGGCGCTCACCGCATGATGCTTTCCGGAACATCAATACAATGCGATACAATACAGTAAGAATCGAGGCCTCCTGCGAAGCTCTGCTTTGCGCTATGACGTCGACGTACTGAATACTGAATACACGCACTGAACACGCCATTCATTAAACTGTGAGCCCGGGTTCTGAGAAGCACGTTCGTATGAGGGAAAACTCTACTCGAGGCACTAGACGCGTTTCCTTATCTCACTAAGGGCGCTTCTGGCCCCATAATTCACCCCGGAGGAACTACGCTCTTTTCCAAGCGCCAAGATAGCATCGGGCTCAGCGTCATAATAGATCGATCTTTTCTTAGTTTCGTCTTGTCTTAGGCACGCGTTTGGTTCCATTCTCAGGCGCGTAGATTGCTTTCCTCCGACAAGTCTCCAGATAGGGTTTTTAGTGATTGTGTAATCAAGGAACTTTGACTCTTGTGCTATCGTTCAGAGGTATATTTAATTGCGACTTTAGTGATTCCGGTAATCATATTGGAAGCATGTTTTGACTCTTTTCTTGCCACCATTCAAGAGGTGCCTTTGATACGGAAAGTAATTTCCTCAGCTCTGTCAAGCTAAGCAATATATCATATGCACATTCCCTATTCGTCTCATCGCATTATCACTTCAAGTTTAAGGATCATCAGAGGAGGGTTCAAAGCAATCCTTAGTGTAACATGCCTACCTGCTCCATACCACTTTCAAACCCAATCATTTCCGCTCTTTCAGCTTTCTGTTTCTGTGAGGTATATGTTTTGTGGTGAAGTTGACGCGGATAGACTACTTACGCCAGTCGCAAGTAACCGTAGATCATCGCAAGATCATCGTGAACTTCTAGTCACCCTCGCCAACAGGGGCTATTACCGGAGTTTCGGATAATTGCGAACCCTCGGCCCCTCTAGTGCTGGTCTTGTCGCGACCTGTCACGGCATTGACACGAGTACTTCTTGTTTCTTTTCAACCACGATCTGGCTATTGGCTGGCCTCCCCTTCAATCATGTTTGATAGTTGGAATATGACATATCCTCGGAATGAACTAGCTCAAAAGAACTACTTGCTCACTCAGCCGAGTACGTTCTCTATCGCCCGGGTGCGCTGTGCAATTCCCTTTTTCTCAAATCCGTTCCACAATAGTATTACTGATGCCCCTTCTTTTCTGCCGCTATCAAGGACTACAGACGCTCACGGAACACATGGCCAAGGATATTGATGAATGGGCGCTAAGCTGACGCCGCACTCCACCGAGGTTTGCTTTGGACTTAATTTTCCCAGGCAATAGTGTCTACTCTCCCCTGACCTGATAAAAAGTGGTAACCTGCCTTCCAAAGGCGGTCACTGGGATCTATGAAATCCGGCCGGCTCTTAGGAGCAACTTGAACCAGCTCTATCCAATTACAATGATAATGACGCGACAGGACACCCTCAGTCTAAGGTGTACGACCACATACATGCGGATGCATGGATTGGTACAGCTCCGCCTCATAGTGATGCATTTCTTACTTGCTAGCGCTGATCGAGATCCTTAGTATACGGTACGGATCATGTTACCGTGGAGCCGATTTGCGATTGTTGTGCAGCTTGCTGTGCATTCACGGTTCAATCGCGATAGCACACCAGACTGTTTACTCTCATCAGCGCATCTCCTCAGCCGCAACCGTCCCGAATCTCGGCCCATTAGCTTCGGCGTTGAACCATGTCTAGTGAGTAGATACATGATCGCGATCATTCGACGGATGTGCTGATGGATGCATGTCTCAGACAACTCTTGCTCTAGCGATGCCGCCATGGAGAAGTTATCTCGGAATGTCGCTTTTCATGCATACAAAGATTAATCTCCCGAAGCTGAGTGGCATGAATCGGATGGTGTGAGCCAGAAACTGCTCCGTGCTACGATGAAGGAGTTGAGCGGGCGGGGTCGGAGTGTTGTCTGGCTTCATGGAGAGTCCAGGAGCACGCCTGTCGCCAATATGCTCGCTGAAACGCTGGGAGGCTCGGGGCGACTTGCTGGGCGCTTCTTCTTTTCACCAGCAGACCCTAAGTCGCGTTCACTAAACTACACGCTACCGACCATTGCTTATCAACTAGGCACCTCCGGTAAACGTCGTGTACGAGACACTCTTGCGCATGCTCTCACACGAGATCCTGGGATACTCGACCACCAGAGAACTTTCGAGGATCAGTTTGACTCCTTGTTCATCAACCCTATCAAAAGCTTGAAAAACATCTGGAAAGAACAAACTCTGACACCGAAGAGTCCACAGTGCCGGTATTTCTTTTCAGTGGTGTCGATGTTTGTTTACTAGCAGAGGCCGAGAAGGTTTCCAGCATCACCAAGTTTATCAAGCTCCTGATGGACAGTCTCTGCCGTGAGGACTTTCCTGACTTTCACTTGTTCTTTGGCAGTGGGTCCGGACTCTCTCTACCGAAAATCAAAGTAATCCTGAGTGACTGTACCAACGGTGACATTTTTATTTCCGACGACAACCCAGACTCTCATGTAAGGCTTACACCTCTTGGACTTCATGCGTCATCAGACGACCAATCGCCACCTTCATTTGTTCTCATTTCATATCACAAAGCATCGTGGTATCGCGTTCTGTGCCAACTAATCGTTACACTGCTCAACATGACCTTCTTTTCATCTTTGCTCATGCCGCGGCGGGATGCGCCTCAACCGATACCATCTACACCATCCTCTCCATTGGCGCCACCTGCAAATCTATCACCAGAAGCCTTGGAACTGGTATCTGAGCCACCCTCTCCGCTGCTGCCTCCCGCCGATCCACTGCCTGTGCCCACATTGTCACCGCCATCCTTTCCTCCACTACCTCTCATTCATCCCCTGCCAGATTCCCAGTTAACGTCATCCACGCCGCCACTCAGACGAACACTGTCTCGATCTATCACGCTCTCTAAACCCGCTTCTAAAACATCACTTAGACCGTTGTCTCTCGTTATCTTACCACCCAATGTGCAGCTGCCTTCCCCTGAGCCAGTGTCTTCGTCACAGCCTTCCCCTGCTTCAACTTATGAGACTCAATCGCCATCATCGCCATCATCCTCTCCGCGGAAACATCATTTTTCTCTGTTACGTAGGTCGTTACCACGATCACTCAATCCAAGCTCCTGGTTAGCGCCTCATGGCAGGGCATTTACCAGACATGGTGGGTAATCAAACGTTTAACGATATGGTTACGCTGACTGACAAACTCTTTGCAGACAATGGGAGTGACTATTGGAGGAGGTTGATGGACGTTGTATCCTTTGAAGCCTACGAGAAAACGGCACCGACTAAAATTCTCCATCCCGAACTTCTGCCGGTACTCTCAGCGGTAATGAACTACCGATATCAGAACAAAGGGCATATGTAGTAACATCATCTGGCTGGACGGAGACCACGACCTTTCGAGAACAGTGGCTCAGTTCGCGGCGCACACGTTAAAGCGCGAAGACCGTCTGGCTGGCCAGTTCTTCTTCCCGGATAAAAAGCCTGACGCGGCACTAACCTCCGTCCTCCCCACCATCGCACTTCAGCTCGGCGTTAGACACGGGCGCATACGACAAATGATTATTGACACTCTCCGCGACGCCCCCGAGCTAATCGCGGACGACCACTCCTTCATGGACCACATCTACCCTTTCTTCATCCGCCCTCTCAGGCGTCTCAAGGAAAAACAAGAAACGGCGCGGGGGGCGCTCAAAACAAACACTTACGTGTTTGCAGGTATTCAGGAGCGCGGGGCCAGCCCTCCGGAATTCGCCAACGTCCTTCGTCTCTTGGAGAGTCTGGCCGACTGCTTGAGCCACTACGACGACTTGCCTAACACCCATATTTTCCTTGCCACCGATCTCGCCGACCATACGCGAGATGAAGTGTTCACGGCGCTTCAAGAAACGTTTACCGTTACCTATACTCACGCATTTGATGTGAACTCAACATCTCACTTACAACTTGCATGTTTTCACGTCCGCCACAGATAACCTGTTGTTCCTTCAATTTCGTTTCTACACTCTATCACCGTCACCGTTATCCTTAAGTTACGATTTCGGCCGCTCGACTCGCCTTCACCCCAGCCCCTTTCTATATCTCTTTTTTACGTTCTCCTCATATCTAAATCCCCGGTACCATGCGAACACATACGTAGAAGGCTTTCCTACCTATACGATTACCCCTTAAATCACCTTTGAATCTTATATTCGCTATCACAGCATGACTTGGCATCTCTGTCCCAAAAAACGCTATGGACTATCTCGAGATCGCGCTTACACATACGTTACCGTGAACCGGCTTCGGCCTCAGGTGGCCCCCTACACCTAATACAGCTGCCGAAAGCATTCACGATATGATACATGATACACATCGTCAGCTACCCATTGACGTCGAAATGCTGTAATTCGGCGAGTGTGTTCAGAGAGATCAACCCGACGGATGCAAATCCGGTGCAATGTAACAAAGAAAGAAAGAAAGAAAGAAGTATAGTAAGATGATTAGTAGGCTTCCGGCACCTCTCCGTTAGCGCGCACGTGTACATATACCAGCTAGCCCATCCCGCATTCCTAGACCTCGAAGAGGAGCACCGCAGCCCTAAGAATAGCCTGCACGCACCCGATGTCGGTATGACGAATTGCCGAGCGGCAGCCCGCACAGCAAAGAGCGGGAGCAAGCGTACGATGTCGATGAAAACACGTTCACCGCCGCCGCGTCCGCGTGCTCTGGAACTTGCTCGTCTCCCTCCGCAACCGTCTACGCAACACAAAACACAACCAGTCAGCGTTAATTCACACATGACATCAGAGAGAGAAAAAAAAAATCCAGATAAAGAAACCACGCACCGACTCGCCCGCTCCCTCTCGACCTCCCGCCTCTCGACCTCCTCAGCCGTAAGCACCTCAAACCGTGTCCTGAACTCGTCCGCCTCCGCCCAATCCCGCCACACGCTCCTCAGCGCCCTCGGCCCGCGCCCGTCGCGCGGCGCACGGCCCCAGCCCAGCCCTAACCCGAGGCCCGTTTTATCTTTGAGCAAGCCAAGACCGGACTTGTCCCTCTCCTTTCTTTCGCGCTCCTTCTCCCGTTCTGCGGTCGCAGCGACAGCGACATCGGGCTGCGGCGTCCCGTTCACCGTCGTACCAGCACCAGCGGGCAGCACCGGCTGCGCGCCCAGCTCCTCCGTCTGCTCCCGCGCCGCCGCCGCCGCCGCCGCCGCCGCCACAGCCTCGCGATCGGGTATGCCGCCGAGGACGCCCCAGTCGAGCACGTCGCGGCGGTGGCGGAGGAGCTCCTCGTGCACGGCGTGTGCGATTAAGGGCACGGCTTCGCCGCCGAGGCCGAGTTCGGCGCAGAGCGACTGGGAGAAGGATTCGGGTGTGAGCGGGGAGCGGAGGTCCCATTCGACGTGGTCGAGGAGGTGGTAGTTTGATATTTGGACGTCGAGCTGTGGGTGGGTGGCGGGTTTGGGAATGTGAGATTGGTGTTTGAGTTCGGTCAAGGGTGGAAGAGAACGCGGAGAGATGCGTGAAGATGTCTCGGTGGACGGGAGATGGACGGCTCAAGGAGGGACAACTCACACTGAGGATAACACGGCAATCCATCACCTCGCCCCACACCATCTCCACATCCGCCTCCCCTCCCTCCCCTCTCTCCATAGATTCAACAGGCAACGGCGGCCGAAATGCATCGTCATCCTCCATCTCAATCGCAGCCACGTCGCCCGCGTCCTCGAGCTGCGCGCGTATCTGCGCAGCGACCGTCTCCGCGTACGTCTGCGGCAGCTCGAGGTCGGCGCAGAACACGCGCGCGAACGCCTCGGGCTTGAGCAGCGTCTCGTGCAGGTTCCACACGAAGCAGTCGCGCACGCGCAGCGTGTCTGTTTCGAACTCGACGCGGATGGGCACGAGCGCGGTCTTGGTGGGTGCCGCGGCGGCGATGGTATCTGGGGATCTGGGGGTATCGAGTGAGAGGGAGAATGCGGGGTAGGGCGGTTAGCAGAGGATCGCTAGATAGAACAGAGGGAGATAGGGGCACCAACTCACGGGTACTCGTGCATCGTCGGCGCGGCCGGACGCGACTTGATAAACCGCGCAGGCGGTATCATACCCAGATAGCTCTGATCCAGCTCCGCGCCCCTCCCGCCCGCCCCCTGCGGCTGGGGCGTCGCCGACCCGCTTCCGCCTCCATGAAAAACGCTCATACCGAGCCGCCCGCTCCGCATGCCGACGTTACGCAGCGCAGAGCGCGTCCCCCCGCTCGCGACAAAGTCGCTGTCGTCCGAGTCGAGCGCGCCCGCGTCGGGCAGCTCGTCGCCCGAGCCCGGGTCGACGTAGCTGACGGTGCCTCCGCCGCGCCGCGAGGGCCGGCCGGAGAAGGTGCTGCCGAGCCCGGCGGCGGCGGCGTAGTCACGCTGAGAGAGGATGGGCTGGACGAGGAGGGTTGTTCCTGTACGGAGGCGGGAGGAGTAGGTGGTGTGCAGGGCCTGTGGGACTGTTGGGATGGGCGGGATGGGAGGGTTGGGTGCGGGTGGTGCAGGGGTGGCATGAGGGGCGGCGGTTTGAGGTTGGTAGTGTTGTTGGGGGACGTAGGCTGGTTGGACTACCGGTGCAGGGGTGGGTGGGACAACCTGGGGCGTCTGAGGGGGTTGGGCTGCCTGAGCTGGTTGTTGCTGTTGCTGCTGCTGTTGCTGGGCCTTGGAGGGGCGATTTCTGGGTCTTGTTGAACGGGCGGTGCTTGTGTTTGTGTTTGTGGACCAGGTGTGTATGTTCTGCATGTAGACTGGACGGAATGAGAGATGAGGACGGAGGTTGATGATGACATACCCTTTCCTGGAGCAGACGGAGCCGTGTTTGGCGCGACATAATGCTGGAACGGATCCTTGGCCCCGTTCGCCATCTTGAGCAACTACGCAAAAGTAAAGTCTCTGCACTCACGATATCGGCTACCTTTCGCACAAAACGCGTCCAACATCGTCGATTTCCTGTGATAATAGTCCAAATATAGAAATTATAGCCAAACACGGTGCACAAATGACGCGCGGCATTTTCGGAGGTAAATCCCATCCTCGATGCTGCAGCTCGCCGCATCCGCTCGTCGCTGCCGTGTCCCCCTCGCCCGCTACTACTCACGCAAACCCTCTCAAATCAAGCCATGTCCCAACGAAAACATCGTAGACCTCCTCACAGACCGTATGCATCCGACGTTGAAGCAGATATGCCGAATCACGACGCTGACCGCTGAACAGACATGGAGGCTGAGACCGAAAACGTCTCCCACAACGAGTTCAAAGTTCGTGCATTTAAGAATGCCATCAGAGCTATCCAGTCGCTCGACTATCCCATCGAGTCTGCACAGCAAATTCGTAGCGTATGTCTTTCGCTGTCCCTGCTTTTGTCCTCACTTGTTCATTGATGCGCCATTAGCTCAAAGGCGTCGGCTCTGGTATCGTTAAACGGGTAGACGACTACCTCAACCAACACAAAGCCGTTTCCACCTCGGTTTCTGTGCGTCCCCAATGTCGCTTGGCGCTAGTGCACTTCGCAGCTAACCCAACTTCTCGTCTCCCTAGCCGAGCCCCAAGTCCCCCTCATCCCAAAGCAAAGCCGCTGCCCGCTTGATTATCAATGAGCTCCAGCAAGTGCCTGGCGTAGGGTGCGTGGCCAACCACCACCTTCTATCATCTCTCACTGTCGTCACTTCTCACACACGTGTTGATCAGCCCAACCATGGCCAAATCGTTATACGACGCCGGCTGCACGTCCCTCGTGCAGATGCACCAGCCCCAGTACAGCGCGATGCTCAAGCCCGCCCAGCGCGCGTGCCTTCCCTACGTCTCCCACCTCACCTCGCCCGTCCCACGTGCGGAGAGCGAGGCCGTCGTCGTAAGTCCGCGTGTTCCCTGTGATCGCGTGCTCAGCTGGCAGGCAAGCACATGGCTAACGAGGCTGCGTTGGGACGCAGGACTTTGTACGCAGGCATATTCCGAGGGAGTTCGAGGTTGTCGTCGCCGGGAGCTAGTGCGTCTCGCATTTTCCTTCTACACGTTTCATGCTCACTTGGCAAACGATCCGTCTGCCCCTCCACACAGCCGTCGCGGCGCACCCGCCTCATCCGACATCGACATTCTCCTCTTCCACCCCAGCATCACCGACATCCCTCCGCCTCCTCCGCCCTCAAACTCAGCTCCCTCCTCCTCCCCAACAAAGCGGAAAGACCGCCAACCAAAGCCCGCCCCACCCGACCACTCAGTTGACCCCGGTCCACACCAGACAAGCAAGAGCAAGAGCACGGTCAAGCTGAACGACGTCCTCACAGAGCTGACGCGCCGCGGTCTGCTCGTCGCGACGATGTCTTCGGGCGCACGGCGGTGGCAGGGCATCGCGCGTGTGCCTACGCCCTCGACGACGCACGTCGATTCTGCGAGCGGGAAGGAGACGCTGTACAAGCACAAGGACGAGGACAAGGGCGAGAACGAGGATGAGGGGGGCAAAGGCGGGAGGGACGATAGCGTCTACAGGCGCATGGATATCACGTGCGTTTGCTTTCTCTCGCTGCGACATCTCCCCGCGGACTGTTGAGTCTAATCTAATCTCTGAACATTTGCACGGACAGACTCTTCCCCGCGCGGGCTAAAGGCGCGGCACTTGTCGCGTGCACGGGCGACAGGGAGTTCAACGTCGACCTGCGCGCGCGCGCATCGAGACTCGAGCTGCATTTAAATGATATGGGGCTGTGGCGCTGGGGAAAGGAGGGTCCCAACTCTGACTCCGGAATCGACTATGAATCTACGGTGTCCTCCTCGGGAGCTACCAATGCCGGTGCGAGCGCCAGCGAGAGCACGGAGGACGTCGAAGCAGAGTCGGAGGGATCGTGGCGCTGGCACCTCCTCGCGAGCGAGGACGAGCGCCAGATTCTGGCTGAGCTCGGGATGGACTGGGTCGAGCCTGAGCGGAGGAATTTTGTGTATCTCGTGGATCCGAGGAAACGCACGAGCTCGAAAATGGGTTCAGGGTCAGGGTCAGGTTCGAGTGCGACTGCGAAGGTTTCGTCAAGGGCGGCGTCGGCGTCGGCGTTGGTGAAGAAGGGACCAAGGAGGTCAAAGAAGGCAAAGGAGGAGGTGGTGGTGGAACTAGAGTCAGGGGCGGAGACTGCTGTGAAGCGAGGGCGAGGGCGACCGAAGGAAGTCGAAGAGGACTTGCCGGAGTCGTCGGAGAGAGGGCGTGGGCGGTCAAAGGTCGTCAGCGACGGAGGGCTCGAGGGAGAGCCTCCCAGACGCACCCTGTCGGGACGCCCTAGGAAACACTCTGATGACGAGTCTTATTCGTTATGAGTAGCTACGGTATCAACGCCGCCGTGTCGTTCATGTTGTACTCGTTGCCGCATTAAGTAACCGGAATGGGTGGCCCCTATCCTGGACCACCTGAACACAAAATAGAGATACAACTAGTTAGAGGCCCCCAATGCTCACGAAAATTGATATCTGTGTTCTAATAGATGTGAATAAGCCTCAAAATAGATGAGTAGTTCATCAATTGCTGCGATGATTTCAAGTACTATGAATATGAGTTACATAACTTGCATCTCAGCTTGGAGAGATTTTCAGGGAGAAACTATATTATTCAAGTGTGTAGGATATATTATCTGGCTGTTTATAATATGCCTGTAAATTTTTGACTGATCCAAAGCTACTGTTAATGAATTATCAGCATGGATAATTTGTCGAGCAAAAGCATAGTGTACATTATATGATGTATCAGACATATTTCTCTTCTGTTTTGGCCTCAAGCACAATATGATGGGCCTTAACATTGATAGATATAATGAATCACTCATCTGGGTGCTTAAGGGGTCTACTCCTATACAATAAATTGTGTCTGTATAACATGTTCTATCCTCAGTGTGTCATTGAAGAATGTACTACAAATTATCCATGCTGATAATTCATTAACAGTAGCTTTGGATCAGTCAAAAATTTACAGGCATATTATAAACAGCCAGATAATATATCCTACACACTTGAATAATATAGTTTCTCCCTGAAAATCTCTCCAAGCTGAGATGCAAGTTATGTAACTCATATTCATAGTACTTGAAATCATCGCAGCAATTGATAAACTTCATCTGGTTTTTTTACACTCATATCCATTGTGAGGCTTATTCACATCTATTAGAACACAGATATCAATTTTTGTGAGCATCGGGGGCCTCTAACTAGTTGTATCTCTATTTTGTGTTCAGGTGTAGACTCGTGACCAGTCTCCCGAGACGCGTGCCTAAAGAGGCAACAGGCCATGGGGGCCTTCGCATCTGGGAGACTGGGAGATTCCGTCAACTCCCTGGCAGGGAGCCAACTGAGTTTGAATATTGGCAGTAAAGAAGCATTGAGAAGCATCGGAGATTGGTTAGATAAGCTGGCATTACCGCAGCTGATCGAGCACTTGTAGTCTTGCGTCGCGTCGCACTCTGTACACGCCATGCCCATGAAATATAACGATTTGCACCCTCTCCCTCCTGCGTGAACATAAGATATACTACCCTGGCTGTCGCGATCGCATTCACGACAGCATGACCAGTCATGACACTTACGAGTTACTTACATTTCACGCATCGTCGCTGAAGTCGCAGCTTCACTTCTTGGTGCAATAGGTCACGTGACCAACTACTTCCATAACCGGTCACATGACCCGGTTTGGTTACTTTACATTACTGGATTACATAATCATTCTACAACATTCCCGGACATTCTTTATGACTTCATCATGATGTCACGAACGCGTCACTAACATGTCATACATGACATCACACCTACGTCACTCGTTTACCATTAGTAGTAGTACCTCGCACTGCTTGGTCTGTGCGCACACAGTCATTACCATATTAGCTAGTCTGTTTGGCTCGACCAAACATCCTGTACTTGTATATAGTCTGAGCAATCTACGCCCCAAGACTCTAAGTGAGTTCTTGTGGGAATTCCTCCTACAGTTCTATACCTAGTCTTGCCACATCGGCGAGCAGTCAACCTCTCTCCATCCCGCCCTACCCCACTTGGCGTCATCCTGTGCAGGGCTTCGTCGTCTACCACCTCGAGGACTTGAGTGTTGTTGGTTTCTGGGGCTCGCGCCTTCGGAGTCGCTCACACTGGCCTCATCCTAACTACTACCAGCTGCCTCCACCACCTCCACTGCCCATATTTTGGCTGCTGCAATGGACAACACCCCCTGCATGGCTCTCTGAGGATATCAGACTAAGGGAGCTTTTGATGGCTCTGGTTGACACGGAAATGATAGCGCTTGATCTCCATATCTCTCAGCGCAGCTCTAGTTGCTCTCTGGAGGAGTCCTACATCAAAACTGGGCTGGAGCTGTTCTTGAAGGTGGGCAAGTCAGCTACAGATGTCTTGATTATGATTCTACAGGCAAAGTCTCAGCCAGCCTATCTCATGCCTTATCATACTCAATTTCTAGGCGGCGGGGCACCCAAATTTCTCTGGAACATGCTTGGAGATATTCCTCTCTGGAAGAGAAAGCTGAAGTCTAGGCTTGAGGATGATTCAATGCCACATATACTTTCTATTATGGGGAAAGAAATGACAGCTGCATTTTTGAAGCTGTTCTGCAAGTCGACCAGGGAAACTACACCTACTTTTGTCGAGACATTTGACCTCACACAGCTCCTTCGTGTCTAAAAAACTGCTTGGTGGTGTATGATGTTGCGATAGACTCCAAGTTGAATATCCTGTGTAGAGTAGCAAGCGATCTAGCAGAGACAAGTGGCAGACATACCTTCCAGAGGTTCTTGTCATCTGGGGTATCTTGGTTTATTCGAATGGTGGGGATGCCGAAACTTTGAAACTCTGAGACCTGCAGCTGATTAACCTTTAGCATAAGAATTGATTAGATGAAACAAAGACTTACATGACTAGCTTGCAAGAGCTTCAGAGGTGAGATAGTGATCACAATTTTTGAAGGATCGCCAAAGAGAATTGGCAGGATCATGGCAAGTGTTTTGCCATACTACCTGTTCCTGCGCAAACTATGACATTCTTCCCAGCTAGAATACTCACAGTGGCCTCGATCTGAAACTGACGTAGTTTTCATTTGCCTAGATACCGAGCATCAAACCAGGCTGTGACTTTGAAGACAGTCTTGGCTTGCTGAGGTGTCAGGCTCTCAACAAAGGTGGGGGAGAGCTCACCAAGCAATTGACAAGCATTATCGGACAGTAATGATAAGTTGAATTGATCAAATATATTCATAATGTAGCAATGTCGGGGGAGACGATCATGTAGGAAGCGATGTACAGCGAATGCAGTGTTGCTGTCAGAATCCGACTCGTCGACAACATTAGCAGTGCCGGCGCTCCTCCCGCCACTCCCGGTGGCGTTCGACTTCTTCTTCGGACAGTCGTTGTGCAAGTGCCCAACCTCGCCGCACGTCCAGCAGGCACGGCCCTCCTTTCGCACGTTCGCTCGGGAGCCACCATTGCCAGAGCTGAATGCCATTGCCTCGTTGTCGTCGCGAGATTTCGAGGCACGGGCAGACCCAGGCGCGGGTTTGATATGCTCGTACTCTTCCCCGATCACTTGGATGAGCATGTCGGGGTCGATGGTACCAGTGGGGCTGTAGAGGCGTGCGGCGGTGAGCTGGCCCGATGCGAAGCTTGCCAGAGCTCTTGGAAGCGAAGAGATGATGGTCGAGCAGTAGTCGGCGTCGTTTATCTCAACGTCAACCGATGCAAGTTCCTCCTTCTTCGTTCGGAGGCTGTCGAGCCAGACGTAAACGTCGCCGCCGTTGGGACACTTCGAGTTAAGGAACTCCGAGCGAAGCTCAGTCTGCGCGTAGGTACCCTTCTGCGTGTACTCCTGGACAACCTTTGCCCACATGGCAGCTGTGGTCGGGAGGTTTCTGACCTTGAGTACGGTGGAGTCGGGCAAGCGGCCCAGCAGAAGGTTCTTGGCCAAAGACTCTCTCTCCTCCCACTTCTCCAGTTCGGCAGTCTGTTCGGCCGTGAGGGGCTGAGCTGGGGACGCGGTGGGAGCAGCTCCGGTGGTGGTAGCGGTGGTAGCAGCTGTTGCAGAGGCAGGAGCGGCGACTGCAGAAGCAGGGGCGGCGGCTACAGAAGCGGGATAGGGCCGTTGAGCGGCACCGCTAAAATGCGGCCATAGCTTTGACTTGGCCTGGACACCGGTCTGGAAGCGGATAGAGAATATCGCCCAATTCGCCCCACGCGGGTCGAGCTTGGGGACATTTGAGGGCAGAGTGTCCGTTGTAACTGGCTGGGAGGAAGACAACATAGTAAACTGGCAGGGTGTTGGTATAAGCGTTGGAGGCGGGGCTCATAACCTTAAGGAAGGTATGAGAAGCAGCGCGCGATCTAGACACCAAAGGTCCAACAGTAAGTCTCAGTCGTCGCGCGGGGAGAGCGAACGCTGTATATTACCTAGACACCAAAGGTCCAACAGTAAGTCTACAATGACAATGAGTACAGTGTCTAGCGTGCGGAAAATGTAAGTGTCTCACCTCAGTCGTCGCGCGGGGAGAGCGAACGCTGAGGTGCAGGTATCCTAGCTCGCAGTATAAGTGGGACTCGTCTCGTCCGGGTATCGTATGGCAGGCATAGAGACACGTAGCAGATAAGAAGAATAAAACACATGATATCAGACAAACAAAGGTTATCGAACTGCGTCGAAGGGAAACTAGAACGAACGTGTGGATGAATAACAAATAAACGTCAGGAGACAGTGTAAGAAAGGGTATATGCGCGATGCTGGCATCTCCGATGTCGGCCTGGACGTCACGACGTCGATGCCGTCGCAATGATCTTGTTGCTGGCATCGCTCCATCGTACCTGGGACGTCGAGTACGGCCGACCTGCGAGCCGTCGTCGGCCGGCGCGACACCTTGCGAATTTCAACACATACCTATGAATTAAAACCTAGACAGCTGTTGAGAACTGAAGATGCCACACACGGGCGTGAAATTTGAATCAATCAACGCCGACTCCCCTGCATGCACATTCAAAAGTTGACATGACAAAACATCACTAAGATACACTCACTCAAGAACAATAATGGGTTGTGTAAAAATCATCTGGGTGCGCAGGTCACCTTCTGAAGCATTGCCATCCGTTGAAACTGCAAGCAAGTGAAGGCTCGCCACATCCGAAATGACTTACGGGGCAGTGTTGCTACACAGGGTGTTTGCGGATAAATCAATAGCATTGTCGCACAAAATGGCGCTGACAGGCACTATCTCGATCTTAAGTATGTCGCAAGATTACTTGATATGACACTTTGAAAGAGGGATGGGTCCGAGTCAGCTGCAGAGGCTGCAGTCCCGTTAACAAAAATTAACATGGTGGTTGAGGACAGTAGATAGGAAAATGAGATTGTACACTATGCCGTAGATGACGTTCAGTAGTTGTTCAGTGCGAGTGCGAAGACGCCATAACAAGAGAAATGTCTTGGAAATGTCTCACAAAACAAGACCAGAGGCTGTCCATGTTAGGTCACATGACCTCATTCAATTTTTCAATTGACCAGCCATCTGTTGTGCCATTAGCAAGCCCCTCTAACCCAGTTACCTCTAGCGGTAACAGGAATTAAGTAACCGGAATGGGTGGCCCCTATCCTGGACCACCTGAACTAGACTCGTGACCAGTCTCCCAAGACGCATGCCTAAAGAGGCAACAGGCCATGGGGGCCTTCGCATCTGGGAGACTGGGAGATTTCGTCAACTCCCTGGCAGGGAGCCAACTGAGTTTGAATTTGGCCTCAGCCCGAGAGAAGATCACCGCCGGATAAGGGAACTCAGCCCCTGAATTGCAGACACGTCGCATCTATAGTAAGTGCCACTGCCTCGTCTATACGTTCTCTGAAGTCTCCGACAATGATACCCTCTCCTCTGTTACCGACTTCACGGACGATGTAGACGACGATGATATACCCGATCTGATGAGCGTCTCTGATTCTTCCGATGACGAGAGCGACGTCTCCGATGATGACGACGTTGCCAGTGTCGTGGCGGACTGGGCTGAGGACCCCTCCGCAGACGATGAAGCAGCTGCAGCTGCGCTAGAGTCGGTTGAAGATTGCGATCTGCAACCCACGCGTGCCCCTCAGGCTGAGTTGTACGACTCAGGCGCTACCCGCCACATCTCGCCTTACCAAGATGCCTTCGAGAACTTTGTGAACATCCCTCCGAGGCCGTTTGTTGCCGCGAACAAGCAACCATTTCACGCTGTCGGCCAGGGTGATCTTGTCATCGACGTGCCCAATGGGATGGACGTTTCGAAACTTCGCCTAAACGAGGTTCTCTATTCTCCGGAAGTCGGCTACACCTTGGTGTCCATCGGTCGACTCGACCGCCAAGGCTACTCGGCGATGTTCAGTGACGGCTCTTGCACGCTAAACGCTCCAGATGGCAGTGTCCTGGGACGCATCCCGCAGACGTCAAAGGGGCTTTACCGTGTTGTTCACACAAGCGAGGGCAATGGGGCAGTGTCTGCAACCGACGATGGGATCTCTGTCATGGAGTTGCACAGGAGAATGGGCCACATATCCCCATCCGTCACTCGCAAGCTCGCCACGGATGGCCTAGTCAGTGGCCTCCGCATCAACGATGACCCGGACGAACCTTTGTTCTGCGAGTCGTGCGTCTACGGGAAGGCAACGCGCCGCCCAATCGCGAAGGAGCGCTTAGGCGAGCGTGCTCCGAACTTCGGCGACAAGGTCTACTCGGATGTTTGGGGCCGTGCGCCCACGACGTCTCTCGGAGGAAAGCAGTACTACGTGTCCTTTACAGACGATGCATCCCGCCTCACTCATCTGTACCTCCTCAAGGCGAAGAGCGAGACCTTCAATGCCTACAAGAAGTTCGAACGCATGTACTCCACGCAGCACAAAACTGCCATCCGCACACTTCACACCAACCGAGGAGGGGAATACCTCAGCCGCGATTTCATCCAGCACCTTGCTGATGCAGGCACTCGTCAGGAGCTCACTGTCCATGATACCCCCCAACATAATGGTGTCGCCGAGTGCCTGAACCGCATGCTCCTCGAGAAGGTGCGGGCAATGTTGCATGCGAGCGGCCTCCCTCGATCGCTTTGGGGCGAGGCCGTGCATCACGCGGTTTGGCTGAAAAATCGCACGCCGACAAGGGCGCTTGGTGGTCGCACCCCTTTCGAGGCTGCATTTGGGTCAACACCAGACCTTAGCACTCTCCGCGAGTGGGGATGCAAGGTGTGGGTTCGCCGCGAGGCCGCAGCCAAGCTTGGCGATCGTGTTGCGTGCGGGCGATGGGTTGGGTTCGACTCTCGGAGCATGAACGGTCACCGTGTTTACTGGCCTACGACACGTAGTGTCTCTGTCGAGCGCAATGTATACTTCGACTACGCGCCGACGGATAGTCGAGAGGGGGAGGATGAGCCTGGCTCGACTATCCCTCCCGACGCCACGATGCGCGCGCCTGACGCCACTCCGGACATCATTGCCCCCGACAAAGGCGCCACACCACCATGCACTGCTGCCGACGTCAACGCCACGCCTGACACTGCCTCCGACGCGTCCAACGTGCCCGCCGTGCCTCCCACAGTCGCTCCCGAGCCACTCGCTGAGGGCCGATCGCAGCGCGTACGGCTCCCAAGCACCCGCGTGCGCGATATCCTGAACGGCGTTGGTACAAGCTCCCATCGTTTGCGTGACCCCAGGATTGCGCGAGGCGTCCAGCTCCCTACTCAGCAAGATGACGACCCCTCTGACCTTGAGGGGGAGCAAGAAGTGAGCACAATGCTCGCTTTTGAGGAGGCATGGCAGCTCGGCGATATGGACTGCGTGTTCGCTATCCAGGAGGCCATAGCAGACTCCGAGGCCCTAGAGCCCACCTCGCTTGCAGATGCCAGGCGCCGCCCTGACTGGCCCGAGTGGGAACGGGGAATCCTCGAGGAGCTTGCCACGCTCACAGCGGCTGGGACTTGGGATCTGGTAGATGCCCCCCTCGACGCCAACATAGTGGGCTCAAAGTGGGTTTTCCGCGCCAAGAAGGACGCTGCCGGAAACGTCGTTCGCTACAAAGCTCGATTGGTCGCTCAGGGGTTCTCGCAGGTGCCGGGCGTCGACTATTTTGACACTTTCGCCCCCGTCGCTACACTCTCCTCGATCCGCACTGTGCTTGCGTTGGCCGCACGTCACAACCTCGAGCTGCACCAGGTCGACATCAAGGGGGCATATCTCAATGGTGAGCTATCCGACACCGAGGTCATCTACATGAAGCAGCCCCTTGGATATGCATCCGTCGAGTTCCCCAGTCGCGTAGCCAAGCTCAACAAGACACTCTACGGCCTCAAACAGAGCGGCCGCAGGTGGTACCAGAGACTTGTCCAAATTCTGGTTGGCGAGCTAGGTTTCGAGGTCTGCAAGGTGGACCAAGCTGTATTCTACAAGGTCGAGGACTCCTCCCGAATCGTTGTTGTTGTCCACGTTGATGATTGCACCATCGCTGCTACCTCACGCAAGCTCGTCGACGATCTCAAGAGCGGCTTGCGCAGCCACGTCGAGATCACCGACCTTGGGGAATTGCACTGGCTCCTCGGGATTGAAGTTCGCCGCGACCGCAATGCTCGCACCCTGTCGCTCTCGCAACGGTCGTACGTTGATTCGATTATCCGCTGTTTTAACTTCGAGGACTTGAAGCCTGTCGCATCCCCCATGGAGCCGCAGATCAAGCTTACAACGGCGCAGTGCCCGCAAACGACCGCAGAGTACGCTGCCGTGCGTCACGTTCCATACCGAGAAGCGGTGGGTTCCCTCATGTACGCGTCACTGGGCACCCGCCCCGACATCGCATACGCCGTCTCCGCAGTGTCACGTTTCTGCAGCAACCCGGGCCCGACCCACTGGGAGGCCATGCGTCGGATCTACCGGTACCTCATTGGAACTCACGACTTAGCGCTGACCTACGGAAGCATCGAGAAAGCGCTAATCGGTTTCACGGACGCTGACGGCAGCATGGCGGAAGATCGCCGTGCGATCTCGGGATATGCATTTGTCATCGACGGAGGAGCGGTCTCATGGTCCTCGAAGCGCCAGGAAATCGTGTCGCTGTCCACCACGGAAAGAGAATACGTCGCTGCCACGCACGCGACAAAGGAGGCGCTCTGGCTTCGCTCTTTCATCTCCGAGGTCTTCGACATTGACATCACACCAGTCTCACTCCTATCCGACAACCAGTCCGCCATTGCCTTAGCCAAGGAGCATCAGTACCACGCCCGAACAAAGCACATCGACGTCAAGTT